GCGACCACCACCACGGGCCCGACGACCATTAGTACGGCCACAACCACGACACACCGCGATTCCCATGACGGCCTCACCACGACCAGTGCGGCCGCGGTGCCCGACGCGACCATTGCCGCTCCCGGGCCCGACGAGCAGTCGCACGACCACCGCCGCGACCATTGGAGCCTTTTGTGGAGCTTCCTACGGGGCCATGAAACGCGTGAAGAGAGTATCGCCTTGGGTGCGGGGCCGCCATGCGAACGCAGCTCCTGGGGCCTCCGGTGGAGCCCCCTTTTGGGCCGCGAAGCGTGCGAGGGTCGTGCCGACGCGGGCGCGGTGCCGCCTGGCGAAAACAGCCACTGGAGCCTTCAGTAGAGGCCCGCCTATGGCCACGACGCTTCTGAGGGGTGTGCCGAAATGGGCGCGGTGCCACCGTGCGATCGCAGTGGGGCCACGAAACGTGTGAGGGGTGCGCCGACATGGAGGTGGAACTGCATGCGGATCGTCACTGGGGCCTTCGGTGGAGCACCCAATGTGGCCACGAAGCGCGTGAGGGGTGCGCCGAAATGGAGGTGGAACTGCATGCGGACCCTGCCCTGGGGCCTTTGGTGGAGCACCCAATGTGGCCACGGAGCGTGCGAGGGGTTCGCCGACATGTAGGTGGAACTGCCTGCGCGCATATAATGATGATGAGGACATGCGGAGTGCAGAGGCAAGAGATGGGAGGAGGAGGAGGAGGAGGAGGACGAGGAGGAGGAGGAGAAGGAGGAGGAGGAGGACGAGGAGGAGGAGGAGGCGGAGGCGGATTGGCCCCCAGTAGCTCCCCATCCCAAGACGACTGCTGAATATGCTGAGGCTCGGGCCAGACTCGGGTGCTACGTATGTGTTGGGAGGGCGGGTGGGATTGAGCGAGACGGCCTGCGGGCGGGGAGGGGGTAACTTAACCCCTCCCCCCACCCCCTCCCCTGGACCTGGAATGGAGGTGCCGCGACCGATTTGAGCGTCCAAGAAGGCCTCGGCGAGATTCTACAAATCACTGATTCTCCTGAGGTGTTGGGGGGTGGGGGGGGGGAGAGGCTAAGAAGGACCCCCCTTCTTTGATCGAGCTCTTCCAAGATGGCCCAAAGATGGTCTCCAAGGCTTCCAAGAGTGCCCCAGGAGGGCCCCAAGAGGCGCCCAAGCGGCCCCAAGAGGCCACAAAGAGGTCCCCAGGAAGCTCCCAAGAACCCCCCAAGAGGCCTGAGGTACCAAGACGCTGCAAGAGGGTCCTGGGACCGCCAGGACGCCCCCGAGACGTCCAAGCAGGACTCCAAGAAGCTCCCAAGATACATACGAAGAGATTCCGAGAGGCATGAAGGAGGCCTCTGGCCCTTCAGCTCACCTCTTCCTCCTCTTCCTCCTCCTCCTTCTCCTATTCCTCATCCGCCTATTCCTCCTCCCTCCTCCCTCCGCCCCCCCCTCGCCCTCTCCCTCATCCTTCTCCTCCTCCTCCTCCTCCTCCTCCTCCTCTGTCCTCCCCCTCTCGTTGTATGGCGGCTTCCCCAATCCCTTATTCCACTGCGTGCTCCTCCGTATCCGGGATCAGGGCAACTCGCCTGGGCGTCGTTTCTGCATGAGCTCGTGGAGTTACGCGAAGCGCCTAGACTCAGATCTTGGCATCTGCGGGCCTAGGGGGTCGGCGGCGTGGCGTAAGCTAGTGAAACATGTGCCCAAGAATTCTCGCCGACACCACAGGCAGTGGAAGGCAAGAAACTGAAGCGCGCGGGCATCATTACAGACCCTCCGCACAAATCTTTCCGTCTTGCTCTGTCTGACCTGGCCAGCACCATCTTCTGAAGTAGCCTCGCGGGACGAGAACTCGGAGAGGGTCGATCCCAGCCTTGGTTAAGTTTCGGCCGAACCTCTCCATGAATGACCCCCGAGCTGTGGCCCGCGCGTGGCTGGCGAACTCCCACTCGTGGAAGTCAGGCCCTGCTTGCGAGCACTGCATGGCCTGCTCATCGTCACCGAGCGCGAGAACCAGCTAAGCCCAAAAGGGAGAGGCGGCTAGGCTCTCCTCGCTCCCACCATCTGTGTTCGCCAGCGGTGCTAGGTGCCCATCGGCGCCTCCAGGCCACTTTCTCTGGCGCTTGCCGAGGAGAAGTGCAAATCTCCCAGGCCGGAGAACGACCTCTGGCCCCTCCTCCTGCTCGGGCGCGGCCATATCTGCGAACGCACGGATCAATGTAATGCATCCGTGGACCTCTTGATCTTTGCCACATGAGGAACGAAATCCAAGTGAACAGGGCACGCCGAAGTTGAATTGAACCCCAACTCCGCGGGAACAGCCCCCCTCGGTGCATCAATCTTTGACTGGGGAGGGAAGACTGTTGGTTGGCGGGGGGGCAGGCGGTAAGCAGCAAACATGGGACGGGGGAGCTCGGCGTCGGTTCCAGACATCCCCCAATGCAATCGGACCCAGGACTGAAGAACATCCCACAAGAACACGAGGCCATCCGCCGGCCAAAACAACCCAAACCATACGATCACTCGAGAATCTCATCCCCCAGGATGCCCCCAAAACATCCCACAAACTGTTTTTTTGCGTCGGCGGCTAGGCAGAGTAACTGCGCTGGCGGAGAGCTAACTAAACGGGGGTGCCGTTGTAGCGAAGTGCGCCACCATGCAGGAGAAGGGGGCAGGGCAGAGGAAGCGGCCGAAGGAGGGGGCGGGAAGGGAGCGAGGCCTCTCAGGGGGACGGGTCACGCCCTGAGCGCGTGGAACATCCCACAAACACGAAGAACAATAGGTTACCCTCCACGAGCCGACCTCGATCTTGTACCTCGGTCCGGCTGTCTGATTTTTTGTTCAATCCGCGACCCCCCAGCAGCTCCCGACTCCTGCCCCTGGGGGTAGTGCCTCGCCCCGCGGATCCCATGCTGGTGGCCCCGAGGCCCGAAAGACGGGCCCCAGAGGTCGAGATCGAGGGGCGCGGCCCAGATCAAACAAATCTTATCGTCGCTGGCGGCCCGCTCAAGCCGCCGCGTTAGGCCGCTATGCAATCTCGCGTAGGGCCCGCTCTTGATCGTGGAAAAAACGCAGCGTGCCGCGCTCGCGTCCCGCGTAAGCTGTGGCGCAAGGCCGCTGTGCCATCTCGCGCGAGGCCCGCTTTTGAGAGCCGCTCGCGTGGTCGCCCAGCTTCCCCGAGCTGTTTCGGGGCCTGCCATCGAGGCGGAGCCCAGAGATCCGGGGTTCCCAGTCCCAGCTCTCATTGGCCATGTCGCGGAGAACCCGCGAGCTGGCCCGGCAGGGCCGTCCTGCCGCACCGCCCGAGCGGCAACGGCCAGGCCGCCCGGCGCAGCGAGAGAGGGTCGGGGGGGCGATCAGCACCGCCATCGGCTCGCGAGGCTCTGGCCGGAGATTCCGGACCCTCTGGCGCCGGCCTGATCGGACAAGAACGCAGAGTTTCGCGTTTGTCCGTTAGGCTCGAACGTAAACCAACAAAAAGAAGTGGGCGACGACAAGGCGGCCGACGACGAGGATGACGGCGTGGATGACGGGGAGAGTAGCGAAGCTCTGGCCGGAGAGTCTGGACCTTCTGGCGCCAATCCGCCGGTGCCCGGCGCCCGTGGTGCCGTGCAGTCACCAGGCATTCGAATGCATCTGTCGACCTCTTGACTTGTGCCCTGGCAAATGTTGAGCTTGTCTGGGCGAGGCGTGCCGAAAGTAAACTGAAGCCCAACTCCGCAAGAACGGCCCCTCGGTGTACCAGCTTTTGACGACAAGAGGGGGGGGGGGAGCCTGTGCTGGGCGCGGGCGGCAAACAATAAAACGCAAACTAAAAAACGGACAACGGAAAACGGAAACCGGAAAACGGAAATGAGAGACCTGCACTCTGTTTTCATTCAGCAATGTGTCTAATCAACTCTGCCACCGTCATCGCGAGCTGGCCCACGACAGAATGAGAATGCTAAAGAGTATATACTCGGCATTATGCAGTAGCTGATTCCCTTGAAACGAGGAGTCGGAACGGCACCGCGCAAGAAGAGGGAGAGGGGGGGGGAAGCTTGAGGCGAATATATAGTAGAATACAGGGGAGCATGGTGAAGACGTCGTTGGGTCCCTCAATCCCGTGCCCGTTTGCAAGCACACTCCGCACTAACATGAGAGACCTGCACTTTGTTTTCATTCAGCAATGTGTCTAATCAACTCTGCCACCGTCATCGCGAGCTGGCCCACGACAGAATGATAATGCTAAAGAGTATATACTCGGCATTATGCAATAGCTGATTCCCAAAACGTCCCGAAAGGTAGTGAGCTTATGAGTTGATTGAGTATTGGTAAGCACGTTGACATACAGCCGTACTGCGCAGTATTTTGGCCAGGAGCTGGGAAAGACGGGGTGGGTAAGTCTGGGCCTGGGATGTCATACGTTTGCCCTCCAGCTCCACGTGAGGTTTTCCAGTGAAACAGCAAGTCCCCCGACCGTGGCACATATACTTATCGCACAAGTTGACATCAAAGGGGTCGCAATTGCCGAACATCAGTTGGGTGCGCTTTCGCCACGGCGTTCCAAAGGCACACTGGTCGATAATCTTAACATGCACCTTGGGATCGTTCGCGAACTGGATGAAGCCTGGGACCCACCAAAGTAAACTTGTCGCTGGGTTCTCGACGGCCCACGGGATGCCCAGGGCGTGGATGTACCGAATGAGCTTGAGGATCCTGCGGGCCTGGAGATTTCCGGTCCGAAGGGCTTCCAGATCATTGGTTGAGAAGGGTTTGGCCGGTTTCGTAACACCCCAGGGCTCAGTGCGCGAACGGATCACGTTGGTTCTGTGACGAGCGATGCCCCAAGAGCGGCACTCGATAGCCCTCCGAGCACAAAAGCTGGATGTTCTTCAGAAGTGTCAGATCCAAAGAGTCTGAAATAGATTTGTCCCACAGCCGAGCCCGAATACCGTATCTGCCTGCTGCTCGGCCCACACCGCTTGTGCCGCCAAAAAGATCGGCTAGGTACGGCGTCGCTTCTTTGGGGCCGAGCTCGGGATGACGGGCGGTGCGATGGCCGAGGGGTCGATCTGGCCGCACAAAAGGGGCCCGAGCTGGAGCTCGCACCTGTGCACGTGAGACGCCAACGAGGCGCTCAGCTTGTCGACGCTCTCGACAATCTTGGCCTTGCTGTCGTACCTCAGCACCGACTTGCCCGCCTTCCACCGTCCCCTGCTCTTGATCTCGGCCCGGGTGCGATACTTCATGGCGGCGTCGATGGAGGCGCCTGAGTGCCTTGCCTGATAAGGCACGGCCGTTAGCCCCAGCTTCTTGCAGGCGATCTTGAACTGGCGCGTGTAGCTGCTGCACTTGAAGTTGAAGACCTTGGCCTTGGGGTCGCCTGCTCGCAGCGCAGCAACCACCGTCGTCAGGTAGGGCACCCACCTGCAGCTCAGGTCGATGCTCTCGTCCGTCGCGTACGTCTTGGACGCCGCTCCCCGCCCCTGCCGGAAGGCGAAGCAGATCCACGAGGCAGAGAGCCCATGCGCCGGGGCGAGGAGGTCCTCCTTCAGCAGCTTCAGGGGCTCCGAGGGCCGCATGTAGGTCACCAGCATGAACAGCGTGTACACCCCCATGTTCCAGAAGTTCGCGCGGCACAGCTCCCAGATGATGGCTGCCCAGATGCTGAAGGCCAGGGGGCGGCGCGATCGTGGCGGGCAGCGGCGTCTCCAGCCTTTCAGAGCCCGGTAGCACCGGGAAAGATGAAGGCCTCCATGCCGCCCGAACTCGGGCAGGAAGTGCTCCAGCCCGGCCACGAGCTTCTCGCCCTTGCTGAGGTTCTCGCCTTGGTCGAAAAGCTCTTGCAGCTGCCGCACCACCGACGCGTCCACCTCGGCAGCCACGCCGAGAGGCTCGCCCAGCTCGCGGGCTCGAGCCCGCCAGGCGTTCACCGCGTCGTAGTAGTCGGTCTCCGTCTTCCACTGAACCGCGCTCGACTCCAGCGGCAGAAGACCCAGCCCCTGCAGCCGCTTCGCCTCCACCGGCTGGCGCGCTCGCCCGACCCGCGGGGCCGCCAAGACTCGCACTCGGCGAGCCGGCCGCACTTGAACCTTCACGGTGTCGGAGGTCGCGTCGCTCTCGTCGTCCCTGTCTGTCACCTCTCCGTCGCTCAACTCGTCGAGCGTCCGTTGCTCCTTCTCCTTCGGGGCCTGCTCCAGCTTCGCCACCAGCCCGTCCCCGGACGCCAGACGGCGGGTCCGGGTCGCCCTGCCAGTCGCGGGCGCCGGCGTGAACGTCACCAGGTTCCTCGAGACCACGGGCGCCGCGGGGATCGTCGTCGACCCGCGGGGCAGGCGGCCTGATTGCGCCTTCGCCCGCGGCACGGCACGGGCAGGCCCCAACCTGGGGCCCCTCTCCATCACATCTGAGTGGTTCAGGAACAGTGCGGGAATAGCCAGCAGAGTCAAGGTCAGCACGTGAGCCAACATGTTCTACCGAAAACCGACGGGACGGCTCATCCGCAGTATTCCACTCGGAAGGTATCCAGCGAAAACAGACTCCCGAGGGCCAAGCACCACGACCCCATGCGTCTCATACACATCAGGGCCCTGAAGTCCGTGGCGCGCCCCCGAGCGAAGGCTAGACACACCCCCATGTTATCAACCAAGAAGAGCACCCTCGCGTTCCTGACTTGGTACTCGCTCACCAGCGCCTGAAATCCCAGGACCAGGGCCCTAGCCTCCAAGGTGAAAATGCCCTCGTCGAAGTACTTCCAGGGGCCCGCCAGAAGGGTACTCCAGTGGGCTTGCGTGAGCAGCTTGTGGGGGACCTCCGGGAAGCTAGAGTCCACCTCGTACGGCCTGTCGAACTCCCCCCCGTCCGCCTCAGATCCAAGCTCCTCAAGACTCCCGAAAAACCTCGACCGGGCAGAAACTCCAGGAAGCTTCCGAAAGCGGCCCCTCTCCAGGATCCTCCCCACCTCCGAGACGTCCTGAGGGTCCCACTCTGAGACGGTGGCCCCGAACCCCTCCTCCGAAGCGTCCGTGGCCACGACACCAGGGGGCCAGGGCAGCGCCCACGAGGCATCCATCAGGAACAGGAGGGAGGCAGCGGTCAGCATCTCCTGCCTAGCGGTGTCCCACAGCGGCATAGGGGTAGCGTAGTACTTATTTATGAAGGCATAGATACTCCTGAAGACACTCATCATGCTACGATTGATCAGCGCGCAGAAGGTGAGGTGGCCCAGCAGCACTTCCCAGACACGTCCAGACAGCTTCCGACACGACAAGGCATACAGAACACCCTGGCGTACCTTCCACAGTCGAGCGGGCGCAAGAGAAACTCTAAGGCCCTCGAGGTCTATGTGGGTCCCCAGGGCCTTCGACGAAGTGGCACTCACCTCGTGCTCGTGGGTCACGAGCCCAACGCTCTCGAAACGAGCCGCCGCGTCGGACAGGATGGACGAGGTATGAGAGGGATCACAAGAGAGAACACCCAGATTGTCAACGTAGATGTAGTGACATATCCCGGAGCCCTCCAAGACGAGCCCCCCCTTCTCGTCCTCGCCTTTCTCAGCAAACCTGAAGACCCCAGGCCGACCACGATCACGAAGGAGGACAGAATCACGAAGACCAGGAACATTAGCCATACGATGCTCACCCGCTTGCTGGCAGAAGTAGAGTGACCAAGAGAAACCCATAGGAAGAGAAGCCCAACATATGTCGACCTGGTCATCAACACCCAAGACGCTCCCGCCAACATTGGTTCCCACGACCTTCAGTTCCCCTGCTGTGGCGGCACCCAAACCGAAGTAACTCGCCAGGCCCAAGGGAGGACGAAACCGATGGAAAGCGTCCTTAACATCCGCCAGCCCCAGACACATCTGGGCGCTACGAAGTTGATCAGGAGTAAGACTAGAGCAACCAGGCGGAAGAGAAACCTCGATCCTCGCGAGGCTCTCTGACGAACAGAGGTGGACTCCAGGGGGATCAGCAAAACGCCTATTCGCACGACGAGCATCAATGATGAGCCGACTCTTACTTTTACCGGCCTTCTTCACAAAGAACATACCGACGTGCTCCTGCGCCGAACCAGCTGGCAAAAGCGTGACCAGTCCAACCCGCAGAAGCGCCCGCATCAGCCGCAGAAACTTGCGGCGGCTGCGAGAAAGCACAGGGTCCCAATAGGGAGTTATAGAGGGCAGCGACTCCTGTCGCTCCAAAAAGTCCGTCGAGGTGCGCAGCATGAGCTCGTAGTTCTGCTCCAAGAATTGGCTCGCCTCTGGGCCCACAACCTCCTGCACCGAAGGGGCGCCGACGAGGCTGTCAGGCAGGCTCACAGAGGAGACATTGGAGAAACTGGCAAGGATCGTACACAGCCCGGCCGTGCAGCAGCTCGAGAAAAGCCGCTCGCCGGCTAGGGATCGCGACGCCTGAGGTCAAAAGGGAAGAGATCCGGTCTCTGACGCGCGCATGCACACTAGCCTGCTCTGAGGTACGCGGCGGCCCGTACTCGGGGCGATGCCGGTCCCCAGCCATCCAATTCAAAGCGTTCACAGTTGCGTTGACATCAGCATTCAGTCTCCGCAAATGGCTTCGCAGGCCAGAAGCCTGTCGGCCACGTCCGCTGGGCACGGCAGGTGCCGGGGACAGGGGAATTGGAAAGAGCGGCAGCATGGCAACGCGCCTCGCGCGGCTGTCACCTGCCACCGGGTCTGGGCCTCCAGCGTCGACTCGACCACGGTCGGCGCCGGCCCCGAGCATCGCCCCTGTCCCGGCAACTTCACCTTCTCCGCCTCCGCGCCGGCTCCCTGTTTGGGCTGACCACGTCCTCCGCCCTTCGGGTCGCCCTTGGGCCCCCCGCCGCGGCCGCCTCCGCCTCCGCCTGCGCCAGGAAGGACAGGTTGACTGCCCTCAGCGCCGGCGCCCGGATGCAGCCCGCGCGCCTTCATGCGCATGTTCTCGATCTCCACCTCCTCCTTCGCGCGTCGGTGGGCATGCGAGCGCAGCTCCGGCGGCACCACCGAGGCCGAGTTGGCCAGAGGCATGAAGTGCTTCACGCCCTCCCAGTTCGCGCGGCCAGGAGCGCCAGTGGAGTGCGCCTCGATGATCTGGCACACCCTCCTCGACACGGCTTCGATGCTCGCCAACGATGGCCCGTTGACCTGGTCGTAGCAGCCGCTCAGGTACAGGATGTCCAGCAGGAGCTTCATCTCGATGCCCGTGCGCTCCTGAGGGCTGACGCCCGCGTCCCGGCACCATATGGGATAGAACAGGCGAGGATCTCCCCCTTGGCGCTGGATGTTCTTGAACAACGCGAGCGTGGTCGCCGGCCCCTCGTGGTGCTTCTCCCAGTCGCTGAAGTGGCTGAACGAGATCTCGGCGCAGACCGATCGCCAGTCCTTGTGCCGCTCCCCGTGCTCGTCGTAGCTCACCGACAAGGTCCTCGCGTCCTCGCCCGCAGGAGGGGTCTTGGTGCCGCCGTCCAAGGCCTCGCTCAGGCGGCCCTCCAGACCCTTGTCCGCCTTCACGGCGGCGCCCTCCTCGTCCAGGATCTTGCGCACCGTCGTGTGCACCGTGTCCAAGAAGGTGGCCACGTCGGCGATCGGCACCCGTTTCACTGGCACCGGCCGCCGTCTCGCGTCCAACGCCATGGCGTAGTCACCTGCCATCTCGGCGTCTGGAGCAGGATGGCGCTCCCGACCGAAATCAGGGTGGAGCGGGTCGACGATGAGCCAGGTGACGTCCGGCGGCGGGCCAGCGGGCGCGGCCAGCGGCAGAGCCGCGGCGCCCGGCGCGACAGCAGGCCTCGCCTCACCGTCGTCCCCAGCCAAGGGCACCAGCTGCGCCCCGTCCGAGTCCATCAGCGCCTGATACTCGACCTCACTCCCGTCCCACAGGGCAATGGCCTCAGGCGACGGCCGCCGACGACGAGTGATGCCATAGGACTCGCCCTCGGCCAGCTTGATCTGCTCCACCAGTTCCGCGGCGTCGAACGCGGTGCGAAACCGGTAGAAGTGCCCCTTCATCGGCTCCAGCAGCTCGGCATCAGGGACGAGATGCACCGCCTGCACCGCGCCTGAAGTACCCCGGCGGCACCTGATATTCTCAGAGTAGCGATGCCCATCGGGAGTGGTGATGATCCACACCCCTGGCCGCACCTCCGCCAGCGCGACCCGCTCGTGCCAGCAAGTGTCGTCCTCATGCCAAAGGGCAAACCGCTTGCCCGGCTTCATCTCACGCATAAGCTCCTCCTCCGGCACGACGAGGCCGCTGGAGGAGAACAGCTGGTACTTCCTGTTCGACAGCATGACGCCGACGGCACCTATCGGTCAGGCGACCGAGCAGATCCCTGCCCGCCCCACCGATGAGCACCCAGAGCAACGGCCAGGCGTTCCAAGCGGCCTCCAGCGCCGCCTGCACCAAGGCGAGCTGCTCCTCCAGGCGAAGCGCCGCCGAGCGGATCTCCGCCAGCTCCTCGGGCACCTCGCCCAGGCCGAGAGCCGCAGGGCCACCCGGCGGCCCCGAGTCGGGCGCGCCGGCCACCGACGCACAGTCGGGGCAGACCAGCGCCGGGCAGAATGGCGCCGGGCACACCGGCTGCGGGCAAGCAGGCGCGGGCGTCGAGCTCCAGAGCCCTAACGCCAGCAGCCCATGGACCGCGGCCGCCGCCGCGGCTGCCAGGGGCCCACGCGGGAGGCCCATGCGAGCGAACCTGTGAAAGCTTGAGCGAATATATAGTGGAATACAGGGGAGCATGGTGAAGACGCCGTTGGGTCCCTCAATCCCGTGCCCGTTTGCAAGCACACTCCGCACTAACAACGGAACCCGGAAACCAGAAAACGAAAAACGGAAATTGGAAAACGGAACTTCGCATTTTTGCCCAAACCGGGAACCGGAAAACGGAAAGCGGAAAACGGAAACTGGAAAGCGGAAACCGGAAACCAGAAAACGGAAACCGGAAAACGGACAACGGAATTTGGTTTTCTGCCAAAACCGGAAAACGGAAACCAAAAACCGGAAAACGGAAACTGGAAAACGGACAACCAGAAACCAAAAAAAAAGGAAAAGGAGACCGGAAAACGGAAAACGGAACTTCGTTTTCTGCCCAAACCGGAAAACGGAAAACGGAAAACGGAAAACAGAAAACGGAAAACAGAAACCGGAGACCGGAAAACGGAAACCCGAAGAAAGGAAACGGAAAACGCAACTTCGCTTTCTGCCCAGACCGGAAACCGGAAAACGGAAACCACGGAACGGAAACCGGAAAACGGAAACCGGAAAACGGAAAACGGATTTTCGTTTTCTGCTCCAGGGTTCTGTTTTCCGTTTCCGTTCCGGTCCGGCGCGCCTGCTGACCGGAATCATCTGCGGTGGTGTTATGATATAGAGAGAGGGAAAGAGAGAAAGAGAGAGAGAGAGAGAGGCCTTCGGCTCATCCCGCCAGCGTGCCTGGGTTGTGGGCCAGAGGCCTCTTGGATGTCCACCTAATGGGGACATTTCGGAGGGCCTGTTGGGGGCATCGTCGGGGCCTCTGGGGGCCTCGTGGGGGCCTGCTGTCAGTCGCGGTGCCATCTTGGGGGGAAGAGAGCTCGAAATGTCAGCTCGGGCTCCCCTCTTTGGGGGCAGAAGGGCGCGCGGCTGGCAACCCTTCGGGAGTTACGAACATCGGTACGATCGACATGGATACGGAAAGAAGGGGCATTTTGAACAGGACTCGCTGTCGGTGTCGCCGCGGACGCCCATTTGAGACGGAAGGTCGCCCGCCCAACAGCGGCCGCTGTCGGTTTTGGGCACCATGTGTTGTTGGGCATCGTGCCCATCTTTTCTTTGCCCATTTCGGGTGTCCAAAGACACGAGAGAGGGAACACGGAGCGCATCACGATTGTGATGGACAACATGGAGCGTCCAACCGTGAAGCACGAAAACGTGTGCCGCACAAAAACGTGCGGGGAGACTGCCAATATCATTCAAAACAATAGGGAACAGGGATCCTTGCTTCTTGAAGCCACCTTTGGGGTTCCTCGTGGAGCCCTCTCGGGCGTCTTGGTAGCTTCCCAGGCCGTCTCGAGTCTGTCTTGGGCGTCTCGAGGGCGCCACGAAACGCCCGCGAGTTCTTGATCAGGGCCCCTTCAAGATTTTTCACTGTCTTCAGCCTTGAGGACTCTCAAGGGTCCGAGGACACTCCCAATCAGTGTCTGTGGTACGGTGCTGGATAGCTACACAGAGTAGAGGACTGAGTCTGATTTTAGAAATAGCGTGTTCTACCGCTGCTGGCGGAAAACCGGGGGGGGGTCACTACCGGTTCGAACCCCTCCCCCCCCCCCAGTTCATCATGAAAAGGGGGGGTGTCACTACTGGTTCGAACCCCCCCTCCCCCCCCCCCCCCTCGAACTCGAAAACCGGGTGGGGTCACTACCGGTTCGAACTCCCCCCCCCCCCTCGAAAACCGAGGAGTGGTGCGGACAGTGGTGGGGACGGTGGTGGTGGGGACAGTGGTGAGGGGACAACGGGACAGTAGTGGGGACAGTGGGACAGTGGTGGGGACGGTAGTGGTGGGGACAATGGTGAGGACAATGGTGGGAACAGTCGGGACAGTGGGACAGTGGTGGGGACGGTGGTGGTGGGGACAGTGGTGTGGGGACAGTGGGAATGTGGTGGAAACAGTGGGACAGTGGAGGGTACAGTGGTGGTGGGGACAGTGGTGAAGGCGGTGGCGAGGACGGCGGTGGGAAAATGGGACAGAGGTACAGTGGGGACAGTGGTGGGGACAGTGGGGACAGTGGTGGGAACAGTGGGACAGCTCAGTGGGACAGCGGAGGAGTCAGTGGGACAGTGGGGACAGTGGGGATAGTCGTGGAGAAAGTTGGGAGAGTGGAGCCGTGGTGGGAACAGTGGTGGGGACAGTGGGGGACAGTGCGACAGTGGTGGTGGCACTGGTGGGGACAGTAGGTGCGGTGGTGGAACCAGTGGGGACAGTGGTGGTGAGGACAGTGGCGCTGGGAACAACAGTTGGGGATGTGGTGAGGACGGTGGTAGGGACCGGGAGTCGTTTGCTGGAGGTGAGAGTGGAGGTGGGGAGGGGTTCGAACCGGTAACCCCCCTCCCCCTCCGGTTTTCGAGGGGGGGGGTGGGGTGGTTCGAACCGGTAGTGACCCCCCCCCGGTTTTCGAGTTCGAGGGGGGGGGGGTTAGGGGAGGGGGTGGGTTTTGCCGGGGGAAGGGGGGCGGGGGGGGGGGGGTTCCAGCAGGGGGGGGGATTTTCGGGAGGGGGGGGACCCCTGGGTTCCGGAGGAAAAGGGCGGCAATTTTCCACAGTAAAGCGGCGGTGGATCACGCTCTCTCTCTCTCTCTCTGATTTTACCATCGAGACCAGGAGCGGAAGCGTGCGACCAGCAGCAGCAGGACCACGAGAAGGGATGAGCGAGAGCTGGAGCACAGACGATGGGGTCCTGCACGACACCTGGCAAGCCCGCGAGCACAGCAAACCCACGGGTGTTGCGCGTGTTTGTGGTGTGCGAAGTCCTGAATGAAGGGATCTTTTACGGCGTGTAGTGAAGACGCTACAAGCACGTCGTCTTCGGCACCGCCTGTTCCCGAGGCTTTGCCTCCTCCTGGCCTGACCGTGAGGCGTCTCCTTCTATCCCCCCCTCTTTGTTAATTTCAAGCTTCGCGCGGCCCGCTTAGCTTCGACCAGAAGAGGTGCGCTCTCGACCCGCGAATCAAAAATGTTGTGAAGACGCTGACAGAAGGACCACTGGGCTCAGTAGGGGCACGGTTTTTCGGGCCGTTCCTTTTATGCCGGGGAACCTGCTCGCGGCCGAGACTCGGCGTGGCCAGAAGAAAAGCTGTGTTTCTTCTTCAGCGCTCCTTAGGGTAGCACGATCATTGTAGCACGATTGTGAATGCGAACAATTCGTTTTCTGCCAGCCACGTGGATCGTGCGTCCCGCGCTCGTGGACGTCTGCCAAGGAAGCATCCACATGAGGACCAGTTGATTCCGTTGTCATCAAGCATGTTTCTTGTCTGTGATGGTCGTGCTGAGAACGACATCTGGGATTCTGGGGCATGTGGCGCCTCAGTATCGTGATGAGGTGTTGTCGGCGCCGGAGTCGCAAGCATGCCGAATGTGCTCGCTCGTTCGCGATTCCCCATGCAATCACTTAGCCCCCCTCGTTTTGCGCGAGTCATTCGTTTGAGGTTTGGCCCCTGCTGTGAGAGAGAGACAGTGGCGCTTGTTCGAGGAACATAACATGCTGCATACATCAACTTTCGGAGGTCCGCGCTAATTTCTTGGATTTGCGCTGGACTCCCCTCCCTGGCGCGCGGAGCGCCCCAGGGGCGGCGCCAGAGGCGCCGCCAGGGGGGCCCAGCGCTGATCCAAGAAGTCCGCGGGGATCTCCGACAGTTTCTGTGTATGCCAGTTTTTGTTCCTCGATTCGTGGAGCGATGTGAGAGCAGAGGGGAACCCAGACATACCATGTTTCGATTTTGTCAATACGGGGCCCATGGAAGTACCGACTCTTTTCCCAGGGCCGGTTTTTCATCGCGAGTCGTTTTTTGATCGTCCCAGGGCCCGCGCAGGGCCTCCAGAGGCCGAAAAGCGGCCGACAACCATACGTCGTGATTTTTTGACGACGCGAGATTGTCTGGCAACCGGCCGTTCATTGATCTGATGTGTACCGTCTTGCCTCTCTAGGCTTCTCAGATGGGGTCCGAGTAGATGGGGCCGGAGGATCGCGCCGCATCGCCGATGCACTGGCGATGCGGCTCGATGTGGAGCACGATATTCTCCACGCTGACGTCGCCGATGCATCGTCGTCGCATGGCCGATGCATCGCCGATGCATCGAGCTTGTTTTTTAATGGCTCGGAGCCGTAACGCCCGTTACGGGGGGGGGGTCCCCCCCCCCCGTAACGGTAACGAGCGTACCGGGACGGGGGTGCGGACCCCCCCTCCTTCCAGGCAGGCATTCTGTGACGCTCACATGTGTGCGTCACAAGCTTTGTGGTGTACGCTGGCATTCTGGTGCAAACACGGGGCGTTGAAACAGCAGCTGGTGTGCACGCGGGCGCCGCGGTGTGCACCAACAGTGAGATGTACAAGGGCGCTGTGGTGCACCCGCCTGTCATGATGTGCTCAGTCGCCGTGGTGCACACACATACCATTTCTGCCGCAGTTGTGGTGTACAAAGGCATCGCGGTGTACAGAGCCTGTGTAGTGTGCACAGGCACGGTCGGCTTCGACGACGACGACAGCGGCGACGACGACGACGACGACGAAGCCTACCGTGCCGACAGTTGTGCTGGTAATAAGTGCCAGGGCCCGTGCGAGGGCCCCGCCGCGCGTTACCGGTACCCCCAACTTGGGGCCGGACCCCCCCCCCCGTAACGGGCGTTATCCCCCCCAATAAACGGCGATGCGGCGATGCGGCGCGATCCTCGGACCCTATCTACTCGGACCCATCCCGGAGGCCTCTATAGTCAAGACGCCGGAATAAGAAACCACTTCGTGCTCAGGATGGGTTCTGGTTTCCAGGCCGTTCCTTAGATTTTTTGTATCACTCAGCAGATGCGGACAAGAGTTGGGGGGCGGGTGCGGGGTGGGTCGCCAGGTGGGTCGCGGGGTGGGTCGCGGGGTGGGTCGCGGGTGGGTCGCGGGGTGTGTCGTGGGGTGGGTCGCGGATGGGTCGCGGGGTGGGTCACGGGTGGGTCGCGGGGGTGTCGCGGGGTGGGTCACGCGTGGGTCGTGAGGGGGTCGCGGGGTGGGTCACGGGTGGGTCGCGGGGGGGTCGCGGGCGAGGAATACGACAACAATGCAACAGCAATCCGCACCGCGGAATCCCACGTCAGCCACGCGCCCAGGGATTGAATGACCGATCGGCCCCTCTTTTCTCTGATGTCGTGGAACCTCGAACATAAGCAAACGATACCACCCCACCTACGGCTCTCCATCTTGCGCTACGGCCCATCAGGGGCCGTAGCGTATACCACACAAATGCCCACGCCATTTTTCCTGGTCTACGCTATGCCCCGTGGGGCCGTAGGTGAGGTGGTGCCGTTTTTTTTTCTGGCCCAGAACTTGTTTGTGGCCTCGGCCTCGGCCAGAACAGCCCCTTCGGTCCTTCTTGGACCGTCGAGGAGCTCCTTTTCTCGGGGAGGCTATACCCTCGAGTGTTCTTCAGCTTGGCCGGCAGAAGGCCTCCTGTTCTTGAAGGACGTTCGTCTGTCCCAGGTCCAGCCGTATTCCCAGACCCCCGACATCGTGATTGTTCCACAACGTCGACCCCCAGGGGCCTGGACCCTTTCCCCGGGACCGCTTTTTCATCCCGAGGCATTCTTCGACGGTCCCGAGGCCCGGGAAAGGCCCCTGGAGGCCGAAGACAGCGAAACACCTCCCGTCGCGATTTTTCTCACAGCGCGAGGGAGCCTGGCCGTTTCATAGTGCTCTGCGCTCCTTCTGGTAGCGCGCGATGGCTGCAGCCTCGCCAGTTTTGGGGAGGAGGAGGAGGAGGAGGAGGAGGAGGAGGAGGAGGAGGAGGAGGAGGAGGAGGAGGACCAGGAGGAGGAGGAGGAGGAGGAGGACCCCCTCCCCCTCCAACTTCTGGCGGTGGTGGTGGTGGTGGTGGAAAGCAGGCCCATCAGCCCGCGGGCGCCGCCGCCCGCGCGGGCGCGCCGTGCCCAGGGAGCAGCTCGAGGGGCATCCCCGGGCCGCCGCCGGCGCCCGCGAGGCTCCCGCCGCCCCATCGGTCCTCCCGCGGCGGCGCTCGACCCGCCGCAATCCTCCTCGACCCTTCCTCGTCCCTCCGCGACCCTCCCTCGACCCCCCTCGTCCCTCCTCGACCCCGCTCGACCCTCCTCGACCCCCCTCGACCCTCCTCGACCCCCCTCGTCCCTCCTCGACCCCCGTCGACCCTCCTCGTCCCCCCTCGACCCTTCTCGACCCCCCTCGACCCTCCTCGATCTCCCTCGACCCCCCTCGACCCCCCTCGACCCTGCTCGACCCTCCCAGATCCTCCTCGACCCTCCTCGATCCCCCCGATCTTCGGTCCGCCTCGCCGGCGTTGCCTGCTCGAGAGCCCACCCGAGGGCTCTCGACCCCAGGCATGATCGCGTCGTGAAGTAATCACGACGGCAGGTGTTTGGCCGTTGTCGGCTTTCGGGGTCCCCGAGCCCAGGAGCTTCAAAAACCGGTTCGCGACGTGAAAAACCGGCCCCAGGGAAGGGGTTGGGATTTCGGGGAATCCCGAATTGAAGTAGCCTGGCGAACGACCCAACCATCTGCAATGCAGTTGTGGGCACCGTGGTTGCATGCACCGCACTCCGTGGAGCTCCTTATGGGCCCACAAAACGTGTGAGGGGTGTGCCAAAACAGGTGCGGTGGGCGCATGCGAGCTCTGGCATTGGGGCCTTCGGTGGAGCTCCCTATGGGGCCATGAAATGTGTGAGGTGTGTGTGTGTGTGTGTGTGTGTGTGTGCCAAAACAGGTGCGGTGGGCGCATGCGAGCGCTGGCATTGGGGCCTTCGGTGGAGCTCCGTATGGGGCCACGGA